CACAAGGCTGGGGCTGTAACATCCACTCTACACCAGAAGCTCAAATACCCTGTCAGAGGGAAGATTGTTACAGTGCAGGGGGAGGAAGAATACATGGTTAGTCATCTGAACTCGTTCCGGTATATAGAGATGGACGGGGAGTTTATTGAAACCCCCTTTCAACATTTTGAAGAGGTGCCTCCAACATTGGCGTCAGCTGAAACAGTAATTGAAGAAGGCTCTCCTTTGAAGATGGCATCCTTGAAGGAAGCCCGGACTGTGATTGAAAAAGGTGAATGTGTAAACTGGGGCAGGCTCCCTGATTTTACTCCTAAAACTGACAAGTTTGGGCTGGGTTTTACTGCAGAGGCTCAGAGGGCTGTATGCAAAGCAAGGATCGGAAGACCTCCCGTGTTCATCACCAACCCGGAAGTGAATGTTATTGAAGGCGAGGCGGAGGAATCAGAGTTTGATAGTTGGATCTACCCGACGACCGATGGTGGACTAAACAATTGGACTGCAAAAGACTACATACCTGTTACTTTTGTTACGCAGTAATGAATTCCTTTGTTTCTTAATTTGTAATAAACAATAAATTGAAACTTTATGGCCCGGTGTCTTACCCGGGGCACCGTTGGCTTCATTTGTGAGGGCTTATTACTTGTCATTTCCATATATCATGAATAAAGACATTGGACGTTTTTCGCATTTCAAATCTTGTGCTCCCTTTCTTTCTTTCTTTCTTTCTTTATATATTGCAAAACAACTATATTTACACACACTCACCTACACAGGTTCCAATCCACTCTGGATCTCACTGGTAACGACTCTGCTACTGCCAGTTATGACTTCGAAAATCCGATCAACTTAGCCGAAGACGAAGGTGAAGATGATTGCGAAGTGCCTGGTGAGCTTACAAGACTGTTACTCCAGGAAGAGAGGGCCATTCAGCCACATGAAGAGTCAGTGGAAACGGTAAATCTGGGTACTGAGACAGATATAAAGGAAGTTAAGATTGGTGCCAACCTGGAGCTCAGCGTAAAATAACGGTTGATTCAGATGCTGCATGATTATGTGGAAATCTTTGCCTGGTCCTACGAAGACATGCCTGGGTTGGATACCGACATTGTGGTCCATCACTTGCCTACCAAGGAAGAATGCCCTCCGGTTAAACAAAAGGTCAGTCGTATGCGTCCAGAGATGTCCGAGAAGATCAAAGCTGAGGTTATGAAACAATTTGATGCCGGTTTTCTAGCAGTGACTTCTTACCCTCAGTGGGTTGCCAACGTGGTTCCAGTACCAAAGAAAGATGGTAAGGTCAGAATGTGTGTTGACTACAGGGATCTGAACAGGGCCAGCCCCAAGGATGACTTCCCTCTACCTCACATCGACGTTCTGGTTGACAATACTGCTCAGCACAAGGCGTTCTCCTTCATGGACGGCTTTTCAGGTTATAATCAGATCAAGATGGCTCCTGAAGATATGGAAAAGACTACCTTTGTTACTCAGTGGGGCACCTTCTGCTACAAGGTCATGCCATTCGGATTGAAAAATGCTGGGGCAACCTACCAACGTGCCATGGTTGCCTTATTTCATGACATGATCCATCATGAGATTGAAGTGTACGTCGATGATATGATTGCAAGGTCCCAAACTGAGGAGGAACACCTTGACCATCTACAGAAGCTGTTTGACCGTCTGAAGTTGTACAAGCTGAGGTTGAACCCAAACAAGTGCACATTTGGGGTAAGATCTGGGAAGTTGCTAGGCTTCGTCGTGAGCGACAAAGGTATTCAAGTGGACCCTGCCAAGGTTAAAGCCATACAAGAGATGCCAGTTCCCAAGATAGAGAAAGAAGTCAGAGGCTTTCTAGGACGTCTGAATTACATTGCCCGATTCATCTCGCATCTAACTGCTACTTGTGAACCAATCTTCAAGCTGCTGAAGAAAGATCAGGTGGTACGTTGGAATGATGAATGTCAGGCCGCTTTCGACAGAATCAAAGAGTATCTCCAAGAACCACCCATTCTTATGCCGCCGGTTGAAGGGATACCTCTAATCTTATACTTGACAGTACTTGACAACTCAATGGGGTGTGTGCTGGGGCAGCATGACGAGTCTGGCCGAAAAGAGCACGCCATTTATTACCTTAGCAAAAAGTTTACCGACTATGAGACCCGATACTCACTGCTCGAGAAAACTTGCTGCGCTTTGGTATGGGCTTGAAACAACCGGTTGAAAATCATCAAACAATGAAGTCGCCATCGAACGTCTTTTATCCCACGTGAAGGGAAAGGTAAACATCGAGAAAACCCTAGAAGGATGAAATCAAGGTCGAACAACCAAGAGATAAGGGTAAGGGAGTCTGTTACGCGAGGGGAAGGTATTAGCACCCCACACGCCTGTAGTACTCTACGGTATCCACTCTTGTTATCTATCTTATGGTGTGTTTAATCTATGCTTACTGTCTATTATTGCTAAAGGGAAAGTGCATGCAAAAGAAAAGGAGAAAAGAATGTAGGGAAAATAAAATTGTGCTCGCCTGGGCCCTACCCCAATGCCTACGTATCCGTTTTAAGGAATCAGAGCAGCCGTAGTTCGGCTTATGTGTTTTTGTTTGTTTGTATTTTCTTTAACGAACAATATTAATCTCGCCTTCTGCCGCAACTCGACCTTTGGAGATTTACGCGTCAGCACAGAAGTGAATTAATACGCTCTTTTGAAAAGGATTTGAAAGAAAGGCCCGAGGGCAAAAAGATTTTTATGTTTGTTGGTGTTTTTGCTTGTAGATAATAACTAGTTAACCTCAAGAGAGAGATTTTAGCCATTTCTCTACTTATTCATGAAATGAGTCTTTGAGACTTGAACCACACCAAAGCTTAGAACAAGAGAATAATAATGTCGAGAAGAAACCCGCTCATTATCTCTCAAACTTAGCCAAGACATGGTTTTTGTCAGTAAATTTTTATGTATTTTTGAAGTTTGTAAAAAAAAAAGTTTTTTGTTTTAACTGCATATGCGAAAAGAAAAAAAGAAAAGTCACAGGGAGACTAACCTATTTCTAAGCCTAAAGTCATCATACCATGCAATCTATGGGAAGTGATAAATGCGGGGTGAGAGTGGAAATAAAATATACCAAATGAGTACTAGCTCGTGGAGCAAAGTAAAAAAGCAAAGAAACTTGATGATCTCACGAGCTGCTAGCATCAACAAAGAAAAGAATTAGAAATCCAATGCTCGGAATAAGTGTTGAAGCATCATCGATGTGAAAATAAATCACACTCGAAATTTCAAGGGTATCCACATATCACACAATAAGCATGCATAAGACTTAAATCTCCAAAAAACAAAAGTGAATCACGAGTCTCGAGTAATCGGATAATCAAGAATTAATTTCTAAAAATATCTCTTACAATCTAACATTTTTTAGGTTTTTATTATATCAATATTTTTATTAACAAAATTGTTATCTAACAACTATGAAAAGAAAAGGCTAAAGAAAAGCTAGAAAAACTCTACACTGGGGTGTGTGAGTCTGAAGCATGGTGTGTATTGTAGTAACATTGACTCGCAAGCCCAACCCAATATTTTATACCTCACCAAAAACCAACTCCCGAAAATAATGGCCATGGACCTGAATGGTGTATACCTCGGTCCACTAAGATCATACCAAGATCCATCCACCTTTTATTTAGCTTCGTGTATCTCCACTGTTATCAATAAAAGGAATTAGAAAAACACAACAAACAAATGAATGGCGTGATTTTGTTCCCAGGATTCCCAAATCGTGTGACGGTTAGACTTCAAGAGAAACAAAGTCCTCTTCCTCTTCCCTCAATGGTGCCGAATCACACCTCCGACTCGTTCTTTCTACTTTGGTTTCACAATTCACTCGTATCTCAAACCTCTGCTCCTCTCTTCATTGTTCGTTTTTGATCCGCCTCGGTTCACACGTCTCTCTTCCATCAACCTCTTCGCCGACTAAAATTCAAGTTTCATTCTTTGACAAAGAGCATAAAATGTAGAACGAAAGATTGAAGAAGGCTTACCAACCGGAGAAGGCACCCGGTGTCTCTTCGAGGGTGATGCCGACAATGAAAAATCTGAAGAAGTTTCAGGTACAATATCTCTTAACTTCTTTGCACGACTTCTTCTTCTTTTTCTTCTATTTCTTTTGTGAAAATTGTTGTGCTATGCGTTTGCGCGATTTTGTTAATGATTTATACGTTGGTGTTGTTGCGGTTGTCGTTGTGAGTTGTGTTTGAGTGAGATCGTAGGAGTGTGATTTGAGTTTACAGAGAGATGATTTGATGAAGATGAAGCAGGGTTTCAGAAGTAAGTAAAAATGAAGAGTGGCTTGAAGGGTGAAGAGTATTGGTTAGAGAAGAAAGAGAGAGAATTCCGAAAACTTTTTTGAGTTCTGGGTGAAAAATGAAGCGTGTTGATGGAAGAGGATAGAAAAAAAAATAGTGGAGAGAGGATGAAGTTTGAAACTGGAAAAGAGAAAGTATCATCGTCCCCTCAAACTTGGAGGGAGTTTGGATTATATAGGTAATTGAGGGAGGAAACGGTTATGTGGGAATCAATCTGAACCATTGATTTGGATAGAGCTTGTTAGGGATTGAAGGGTGAGATTGAGAGTTGGTTACAAGGTGGTTATGCTAGTTGGGAATTCTGTTTGAAGGTAGTTAGAGAGTTGTTAATTAATCTTCTGTTTCGCATTCTTCAAGCTTCTGTCCTACAAACAATTCCTTCAGCAGCCTTAACAAAGGAACATCCAAAAATGGCATATTAAGATACCATTTGTCAGTTAATTCAACTTGTACCGCCTCTTTATTCTGATTAGATAAATTACCTTTTTGAAGTTTCAGCCTTCCCACCAAGCTTAGTCTTGTGTTGATTGCTAGCGTTTGTATTAGTATGCAGCTCAGTTTTAAACTTAACCTTGTCAGTACAATGGGCATCTCTTTCATATTTGAATCATTCGGGTTATCAAACTGGGTTTGGCTGGTTGGATCTAGTTAAGATGCAGAGCTTGATGTGGGCAAGCTAGCAGATGTTGTATGTGGCATGCTAGTGAGTGCTAAAGAACCTCTTGAAAACTCATCCTTTACAGTGCCTTGATTGACACCACTACCCTGTTCAGTTTGACCAAAATTAACAGAAGGCAACCCATGCAATTTAGATAAATGATTCCTATGTTGCTGCTCAATAGAAAGGTCGTTAGGTTCCTTTTTTACATATGAAACAGATGAAAACAAGCCAGAATTTTGTTCTGCTGAAGGTTGCCAAGAAGTTGAAGTTTGTTGTGGTGCTGTATTGTTTACACCAGTCGACACAGATCCACCTGGCATTCTCTTAGGATCAGTGAAAGAACTTTTTCGTTCTACACCCAAGTGATTTAAACCAATATTCTGATGAGGAATTTGCCTTATGTGTGAATCATGAGGATGAGGTTGTGGTCTGAGAGATAACGAACCAGTAGTTGTCCCGGAAAAATGGTTATAGTTACCACCACTGCTTCCATATGTCGATGGGAAATGTATATGCTGTTGTTGCTGCTTATTAAGGCCTTGTATGTGAACTGAGGATCTTTCAGTTTCTTGACTGACGGCATTAGAACCTGATGATGGTAATTTATTTGGTTGCACAACTCGAACATCATGTTCCAGAGACTTTTTAGCACCAATGTCCACAGTTGAATATGTCGGTTCACTCTTCACTTGGATAGCTGAAGAAGTATTATGAGAATGGTCTGCAGCAGGATTCATACTTCTCTGATGCAGTTGTGCTAATGCATGGGGATCATTAAATTTTGTTCCACTGGAAGTAACCGTTGGCATCCTTACAGGGTGCTGCTGTCCAGAAGAACTTTTGTTGGCTTTTGTTTGTTGTTGCACTTTCGTCGATGCTATTCTAAGCATCTGATCCCCCACAATCCCTTTCATAAGCCGTACAAAATGATCTTTGGGTATTTCATCTTTCTTCAATTTGTTAAATAATGTTGTAAGTTGCATTGCTCTATATTTGGCAAGTTGGGGAATCAAGATAGGGAGCAATAAGCCAAATGGCACCTGCTTACTACGATTGATTTGGCTACTAGGTTGTTCATTTACTGTGGCCTGTTGATTACTCATCTGCTGCAATTTTGCATACTGTGATTCACAGTTGGGATTATTTGTTTTGATTACCTCATGGTTAAAGACAAGATCTTTTTCAGACTTCTAAACTTCATTTGTTTGAGAATGTTGGTGGGAAACCGGTACAGTCTGGCGTTGGAGACATTCATCTTGAGATTGTTTGATCACCGCATAAAGCATATGGAGCTGTTCCAACACTCCTTGCAAGATTTAATCTTTCTTCTAAAAGCATTTGGTAGAGCTGTCCTTCAGCCTTCAGATTCTGAAGCGGCCAAAATTTTGAATTCTTCTGCGCTTCTAGTTTCCTCTTCTGCGAGCTCACCAACCAATGGAAAAACCAAAGGAGGTTGATAGTCTGGTCTACATGAGGCCAAAAATTGCTCTCCTTTTGAACTGACACTTACATTTCTGTACACATCAGTCACAAACTCCTTCAAATAACCTAGAGAAATCAATTGATGTCCAAGTGCTTTCCACCAATTTGCTTGGTATGCTTTCCCAAGTCCATGAAGTGGAAGCTTGTCATATTGAGCTTCCATTATTTTCTTTGCTCGAGAACCGCGCAGGATGTCAATCGACATATTAAGGCCCCATCTTCCCTTGCATGAATGAATGCAAGCCATTAGAAGAAAGGCTTCTTTAGACATGTCACGATGTTGCCTCAAGACCGTGCATTTATCACAGTTTCCACATCGATCAACTGCAAATTTTTCTCCAAAGTGTTCTAGCAAGAACTTTCTTCTGCAAGTTGCCGTCAAACAATAGCGTTGAGCTTCAAGCAATGACTCTGTAACCGTTTTTTTTTTGTTTTCCGATTTTAAATCTGCAGCATAATAATCACCCTTTGAAAAGTCACTTCTTGTGTAGTAAAGCCAATAAGCAGAAGCTATACCATCTCTACCACATCTCCCACTTTCCTGGTAGTAGGACTCTAGATTTTTAGGGCAGCCATAATGAATCACTTTTCTTATATTAGGTTTATCTATGCCCATGCCAAAGGCAATTGTAGCCACCATGACTTGCTTTTCATCTCTAACAAATAATCTGTGAGACTCCTCTCGTGATTTTCCATCCATTTGGCCATGGTACATTCCAGCATTTATACCGACGTTCATTACTGACTTATATATCTGTTCTACATCTTTGATTGTTGTGCAGTAAATAATAGTTGAACCATTAGCAACTTCTTTTGGAATTTCTTCAACAACCTCGTCAATAAAATATTGTCCTCGGTTAAATTGCTTGACACCATAGAAAAGATTTGGGCGATCAAATGAACCAACAACAATGTAAGGATTATTCATCTTCAAGGAATTGGTGATGTCAAACCGAACCTTTTCAGTAGCCGTTGCAGTTAGACCAACATAAGGAACATCTAACAGAACACCACGTAACTTGTCTAACTGCTTGTATTCTACCCTAAAGTCATGCCCCCATTCTGATACACAATGTGCTTCATCAACAGCAAAAAGACTAATTCCTTCCTTTAGCAAGTTGGACCAGAAACTGGTAGGAATTGTGCATGCCTTCTCAGGAGTCATAAACAGAATGTCAAATTGACCACGCTCAGCTTTACCCTGAATAGTATAATCCTTCTGAGCACTCGAAAGATATTCAGCTTTGACACCTCGCTGTTTCAAAGCCATAACCTGATCTTGCATCAATGATATTAAAGGGCTTACAACTATCCCAGTCTTTTTCACAACCAACGGAGGCACTTGATAACACAATGACTTGCCACTACCAGTAGCCATAACTACCAAGCAATCCCTTTTCTCAATAATTTTCTCAATAGCCTCTTGCTGATAAGGTCGAAAACTCATAAACCCGAAGTAATCCTTGAGAACGGAGAGCGTGGCATCCATGGTGGTGAATGAAAGAGGAAGACAGCTTTTTTTTGTGATACTGTGTGAAATGAGGGTAGCGGTGGGAATGGGGGTATTTTGGTATGATTGCTTGTATTGACTTGGATTTTTTTTTGTATGAATGTGCAGGTCATGAACTGAAGATGAAGAACTTTGACATGGCATGGAATTAGAATTTTACTCCTGGAATTTTAGCACCTTTAGGACTAAAGAATTTTGTTCAAGTGTATTTTGTAACAGTTTTTTTTCTTTGTAGAATATTGGTGTAATGGGATTGTAATGATTTTATAATGAATGTTTGGTTTGGATGAACTTTGAAATTTATAGTGTGAATTATTAATGACTTTGAGCTTGAAATGTCGGGTGATGGATTTTTTTTTGGACGGAGTTTAAATGACAAAGTCTTGAAAAAATGCTTGAAGACATGAAAGCATCAAATTTTCTTGTGGTATTGTTACACTTGAATGAAATTGAATGGAATTGGATAGTATTTTATTGAATCATGAATGAAAGGGTTCGAATAAACTTTGAACACATGTCAACTTGAATCCGGAATAACGATGAACGTCTTTGTAATGCGTATGAACTCTGACTTGAAACAAAACCTCGCAGTCTGTACTTTACCTTCCAAGAAAGCCATATGAACAATGCTTAAGACTCTTTGCCAAATTTAATCCAATCAAAATCTTGAACTCAAATCAAACTTCAAATCCAAATCACACTTGCATTCTCAATGAACTCCTAACTTCAATCTTGAAATTTTATCAATGAATAGAAACCCTGATTTTTAATGAATTTTTTCTTTTCTGAACCAATATTTCTTTTCCTTTACCATACCATTCTTCAAATGCAACTCGAATTCCCAACACATATTAGATGAAAATTCAAGGGAGACCTTGGTCCCAAAGTTAATTTTTCAAATCTTACTTTAACCGAAGTCAACAAATCTTATCCACATATCTTTGAAATTGGCCCATGATTATGCATCTCAAGGTCTCATAAGAGCTTGTAAGCCCATCAACCAGGTATGCCATGTTGAACAAACCCTGCCTTGAATGCCTTGAACCTTGAATTAACTTGCATGAATTCTCTTATGAGAAACCTACTTCAACCCAAACCTACTTGCATCGCAGATAACAAATGACAATGATGAGGACAATGATTGCCTTGGTTAAGGAGAAATCTATGAATTCATATCTTAGGTCATGAACCACGCTTCACAATTCAATCCTTAGCCCTTAGCAATCGGTTATTTCAACTTGAGATTAGTGTCATAAGGAACATCTTACAGATGGATGATAAAGTCTGAATCACAGAAGAATTCCCTTGATGTGAAACCCTCACAATCTTGATTCCTCGTTCAGACACACAGAGAAATATCCGGATAAAACATCTTTGAACCATGATTCAACAAAACCTAATTTGATTAACTGAGGAGTAGATGATTGTCATGTCACAGTCATTAATCCTAATCAAATGACAAGCATACTTATAGGAAAGGACGTCATGATTCAAAGCCCACATATGCTAGGTCACGTCCTAGAGTTCTTGACCAGAATGACCTACAATCGGTTGTTTATCAGAAGATAATAGCCTTGCTGCTTGAGGGAGAAGAAGTCCTTTATTGGATATGAGTGCCTTAACCACTATGAAACCCTAGTATCGCACAACCACTGAACTTTGAACCTCAGAGCTGTATTGAATGAAATGTATGCCACGTTAGTGACCTAATGAAAAAGATGCAGATGAATGCAAAAGTCTAAGCCAAAAATAAAGGAAATTAGGAGGGCAAATTTTGGGGTGCAACAGCTGGCCCTATTTAATCGTCTTCAACCTGAAGGTGAGATTGGCGCCAGCCTTTCGAACTTTCAAGGTGGAAGAAGATTAAATACTTAAAAGAACCCAAAAATTTGCGCTCCAGAGTCAGTTAGGTATTATTATTTTTCTTTTTCGGAATCTATTTTTATTATATTATTTTGCTTTTTGGATTACATGAGTTATCGGGGTTAGATGTATGTTTAACCAGAGTTTGATACACAGCAGAATAACTTGGTTATCAAGGAACATCTGTTGGGATTTAGTAACAAACACCTGTAAGAAAGGTATCAAAAGATATATGCCTGACGCCTGTAGTAGACATAAAAAAATATAAGAGACACATATCCGAGGTTGGTAGCGGATATACAAGAAAGAGACATCAAAAATACATATCCGTGGTCGGTATCAGACACGTAAGAAAGAGATAGAATAGATACATATCCGTGGTCGGTATCGGATACGCACAAAAGATATAGAAAAGATACATATCCGTGGTCGGTATCAGATACGCACAAAAGAGATATCAAAGATACATATCCGTGGTCAGTATCGGATACGCACAAAAGAGATATCAAAGATACATATCCGTGGTCGGTATCGGATATGCACAAAAGAGACATCAAAGATACACATCCGTGGTCGGTATCAGATACGCACAAAAGAGACATCAAAGATACATATCCGTGGTCGGTATCGGATACGCACAAAAGAGATATCAAAGATACATATTTGTGGTCGGTATCGGATACGCACAAAAGAGATATCAAAGATACATATCCGTGGTCGGTATCGGATACGCACAAAAGAGATATCAAAGATACATATCCGTGGTCGGCATCGGATACGCACAAAAGAGATATCAAAGATACATATCCGTGGTCGGTATCAGATACGCACAAAAGAGATATCAAAGATACATATCCATGGTCGGTATCGGATACGCACAAAAGAGATATCAAAGATACATATCCGTGGTCGGTATCAGATACGCACAAAAGAGATATCAAAGATACATATCCGTGGTCGGTATCGGATACGCACAAAAGAGATATCAAAGATACATATCCGTGGTCGGTATCGGATACGCACAAAAGAGATATCAAAGATACATATCTGTGGTCGGTATCAGATACGCACAAAAGAGATATCAAAGATACATATCTGTGGTCGGTGTCGGATACGCACAAAAGAGATATCAAAGATACATATCCGTGGTCGGTATCGGATACGCACAAAAGAGATATCAAAGATACATATCCGTGGTCGGTATCAGATACACACAAAAGAGATATCAAAGATACAAGAACATATGTATGAGGTTGGTAGCAGACATATGAAACAGGTATCGAAAATACATATCCGTGGTTGGTATCGGATACGTACGAAAGAGACAGACCGAAGAAAACTCTTGCAAAGAAACACCAATCGAAGGCGGACTTACTGAGGAAGGAGACCAAACGAATGGGACTCCGGACAAATGATGTCAATCGAAGGTGGATTTAAAAGAAATGACACCATCCGAAGCGGGATTTTGACAAAAGATACCAGGCGAAGCGGGGTTTTGAAAGATACAGGTATGTATGTCTGGTCAGAGTTAGATACACAAGAGCGAAGTTGATCATCAAGAAACAAATGTTTAGAATTGCTAGCGAACACAGGAACGAGACTAACCGAAGAAAGCCCCAGTAAAAAGGGCGCATTCGCCTAAATAAGGATGCTAGACAACTAGACTTTGAAGAGACACTGAAAGACTCTTAACATAAAAGATTAGTTAGGCTAACGAAAGGAGGACCCGACTAATGTGGATAAACCAAAACAAGGAACCGACTAAGCAGGACCTTCAAAGAGCACCGATCGAATGTGCTCTGCAGGAGAAAGGGACTGGTCCAAGCAGACTTTAACAAAGAAAACATGTTAGGCTCTCGATAGGTTGCAAATACGCAAGAACTAAAAAATCCCTCAGGCCAAAGGCGGGGTGTAATTCTTCAAGAGTGGCAATCATCTGAATTACCACACACCAAGTATGGATACTCAAATACTTGAGAAATAAGAAAGGCTATACGCCGACTCTTACTCGCACTCTAACGGCAAAGAAAACACGGGTAAAATAACAAAAGGCTTGCAAAGGCAAGCGTAAACCCCGATTTACTGGGGAATCCCATATGTATTGAACTTAAACAGAACGCCGGTCGAAGGCGGTCTTGTGATCAGAAGAAAAAAAAGAGACCAACTGTAGGGACTCTAAACAAGGATTGCCAACATGCATTGGGTTTTAAAAGTTTTGCAAATACGCAAGAACTACAAAATTCCTCAGGCCAAAGGCGGGGTGTAATTCTTCAAGAGTGGCAATTATCTGAACTACCACACACCAAGTATGGACACTCAAATACTTGAGAAATAAGAAAGGCTATACGCCGACTCTTACTCGCACTCTAACGACAAAGCGAACACGGGTAAAATAACCAAAAGCTTGAAAGGGCAAGTGTAAACCACGATTTACTGGGGAGATGGAGGAATACCAAAGACCCGACTGATGGTGAATCAAAACAAACCCCGCTGGGGAAACATAATAGAGTCACCCTTAGGCTTGTTGTGGAGATAAATCAAATCTGAGCGCATAACAATCTGGTTACCACAAGTGGGCATAATTGGATTATACTTATGCATGTTTGAATTTTTTTATAGCGTAATGCTCCATGAAATGGAAATGATATGCATTTTAGTAGATGCGATGTAATGATGCAATGTAATGATGCATGTTTAGTAATGCACTGGGGAGACCATGTCAATAATCGGATGTCGGGAAGACAATGCACTTTCAAATGATTACTCTTGCACATCTAATCTTCTGTAGAGAACATGCAATATGAACTTCAGTAGGAAATCGAGATTCGAAACCATCAACCTCGAACGATTGATAACATTGAAGAAATAACTTCCTGGGTAGTAATACTGCAAAAAATAAATTGCAGTTTGAGAGAAAATCTTGAATTCTGATCAAACTTCCAAATTCCTGGGGGATAGATACTTTATCTTCTGTTAGAACGGGGAGAGCTTCGCTGGGGATGGAAGCTTTCTCTTGCGCATAACTTCTTTACGAAGATAGCTTCTACTGGGGAGCATAGAATTCTACTCAGACCACACTGGGGATAACAACATCGGGGGATAAAAATCTTCACTTG